ACAATATCACTGGAGATCTTTCTCTCTCTCTTTTTTCTGTGTTGTCTTCATTCACAGTTGGGTTCTCTCTATGGTTGCAAGGATGACCCCTGGCAAATTACATGGCCTTGGTCCCCATGATCTTTTCAAAAGGAAAGAAGCCCTTGGGCCTCTCTTTTAGTAGCCATAATAATCCCTAAAAAATGACTGGTCCTGCTAGATCACTGTTAAGAACCATAACCATAAGAATGGGGTGCTCTTATTGACCAGCTTGGCTAATGAGTGTATTAGCGTGAATGCTAAGTTATTGACAGGCCTGGGAGATAAGAGAAAGACATACTGAGTGGCTCACTATGAAGAGTAACTTCAAGTCTTCTATCAGGCTAAGAATCATTAAGAGAGATGTCGAATGAGATTATCTGCACTATGCTTTCATTGCAAAGCACATACAGTTGGATTCACTAAGTTACATTTGTGTACTATACAATACCATGCCATAAAAAAGTCCAACCTGGTCGCTCAGCATCCATATCTACCTTTGCCCCACATCTGTACTTTCAATGATTGTCCTGCCAACATTGGACAAGTTTTCCAAATGTGACTAACAGTCACCCTTGCTCAAACTTGTGACTGTATCCAGCTCCAAGGTTTCTTTTGGTTACATGCTCTTGAATCAAGTTTGAAGTAGCTCTAACAGCACTAAATTGCAGATACAGTAATCATAAAAATATGTATATATGTTTAGTATTTTACATGTTAGTCTTGATTTTTTAACATGACAAATTCGTTTTTGTGTCATTTATTATTGTTGACAGTATACTTTTTTAACCATTAATGTGTTATTTTGATGGAGTAACCAATTTAATAACATGCCTTTAAATTTTCTATTACCAGTTAGAACACTTAGAACTTATGAAATGTTGCAGTAGATATATATACCAAGATGGAATACACTCAATAATGTAAATGTGACTGCTAAGATGGAGGAGGTAATTTGAGATTTCGTAAAGTGATGTCATTTTTCACGTTTTATTGTATTCAGATAACTGTGGAATTGTTGGTTATTTAGTGTACCATGATGTCATTTGACCATAACTTGATCTATACGCATCATTTACATTTTTAACTCTTTGTCTTTGCTTTTCTCAATAGCTGAAATAACTCCAGGGAACTACATCATTTATAGCTCCTTACTATTTCTATCTAATAAGAAAATCTCATTCTCTGAAATTTTTCTCAATTGCGAATTAACATTGTAAAGTAAAAGTTTTGATTTTGCAGCAGGTAAACTAATTCAACAGTTTGAATTAGAGTTCTCTGATGTAATGGTAGTCATATATCCTTACCAGTATATTAAAAGATTAATTAGATGTTAACTGAAAATTATTCTTTAAACTTTATTCATTGTTACCACTTTTGTTTTAAAAATAAATTCTCTTTGAAAGGGATTTTTAAAATAAGAAAAAAAATTTATATTTACCTGTATACTTATTATTTCTGGTTCTGTTCATTCCTTTGTGAAGATTTTCATTTAATATAATACTTTTCCGACTAGAGGGAAGGACCTCCTTTAACATTTTTTTAGTTTTCATTTGTTGGTAATTAATTCAGCTTTTCTGTTTCTTCATTTCTGAAAGATATTGAGAGTTTTCTTTCAGTACTTTAAAAATGTTGCTCTAGTGCCTTCTGACTTGCATTGTTTTTGATGAAGAATCTGCTCTCATTTCTTTCTTTCTTTTTCTCTGTATGTAATGTATCTTTTTATACTGCTTTTAGGATGTCCTCTTACCACTGATTTTAAGCAATTTCATTATACTGTGACTTGGTATAGTTTTTTTTATGTTTCTTGTATGTTTGGGATTCATTGCTCTTCTGTGGATTTATGATTGTTATTCACTGGAAAATTTTCAGTTGTTATTTTTTCAAGTTTCTGCTTCCTCTTCTCCCTTCCTTTTAGGACATAAATGATATGTATGTTAGATTGCTTGACGTTTTTCCATAGTTCAGGGTTACTCTGTTTATTTATTTATGTCTTTTTTTTCCTCGGTGTTTTATTTTGATAACGTCTGTCAGTCTACAAGTTTACCCATTTTTCTTCTGCAGTATTCAGTCCGTTCATCCTATTTGGTATAATTTTCACTTTAGAAATTGTACTTTAATCTCTAAAAGTTTGATTTGGGTCGTCTTTGTATATATTCCATGTCTCTCCTTGTGCTTTCTTTTGTACCTTCTTAAACTTATAGAATATATTTGTAATAGTTGTTTTAATGGAATTGTATACTAATCTGTGTTATTTCCATGTCAGTTCCTATTGATTGATTTTTTCTCCTTATTATGCATTGTATTTTCCTACTTTTTGCATACCTGGTAATTTTGACGAGATGTTAGACATTGTGAATTTTATGTTGTGTGCTAGATTTCTAAAAATTTCTTTAAATATTTTGAATTCTTCTCTAAGATGCAGTTAATTTCTTTGGAAAGAATTCAGTCCTTTCAAGGACTACTTGTAAGCTCTGTTAGAAGGGACCATAACATCCTATAATTAAATTGTTGCCACTACTGAAGCAATATTTTGAGTACTACTCAACTCAGTTTCCCATTTATTATGAGATTTCTTCACTCTGGCCATTGGGGACATGAACTATTCCCAGCATGTGTGAATGCTGGGAATTCTTCAGCCTCCTTTTCTCTAGTGGTTCTTTCCTTGGCCATGGAGAGTTTTCTCCACAGACATGCACTGGTCAGTTCTCAGATGGAAATTTGAGGGAACCCTCTGTAGATCTCTGGGGCTCTCTTTGCAGCTGTCTCCTCTCTGGTAACTGCTCTGTGAATTTTAGTCACATTGGCCTTCTTGAATTCTCAACTCTGCTTCTTCAACAAGGGGAGACAGTCACACTGTTTGGGTTTCCCTCCCTGCTGGATAAGGCAATTGTAACTCTTACCTTGTTTGTTTCCCTTCTCTCCATGGTTACTGGGCTGAGCTGCGTGGTGTTTAGTATCTGAAAACCAACGTTTTATATATTTTGACCAGTTTTTAGTTATGTAAGGCAGAAGAGTAAATTCAATTCTGTTACTTTGTTGTATCTTGAAACAGAAGTCATTGTAAATGTACTTTTAATTCTTTGTCCAAATAATTTTTGGAAGAATGTTCTTTTTAATTTTCAAGTATTAATAGGATTTTTAGAAGAACATTTGCTTATCTGTTAAAAAATTTTGTAAAGTAACTTCTTGTGTCCAGAGGATGAAGCTTGTACTATTTCTCCTCTGCAAATGTATTAATTTCTTTGAGGTCTAATGTAAGGTCACTTTTTGTGATTTCTTTGTGTGCATCTTAAAAATGGTATTTAGTAGGAGTCAAATATAAACATACAGACAATCATATGTACTCAGGCTTATTATATATTTTAAATACCTTGTCTTTATTTTGAGGCTTAGAATCATAGATTGCTATAACATCTACTAATTTTAAAGTGACTTAAAAAAAAATTAACCTTGTAGTTATTCTAAGTGCCCCTCACTACAAATTCTGAATTTCTTCAATTATACCAGAACTCTTTCAGTAATCTTAGACTCAGGAAGATACAAAGCACTTAATTCCTTTTAGTGTTTTGGGATAATGTCCATTTAACATTTCTTTAAAAATGGGATAAATAAAACTGAAATTTTACAAAAATACTCACTGAAAGAATAATGAGCAAACTAATCTCTATTCTCCTTTGATGCCTATTTCTTAGGTGTTAAGATACAAATTATCTTATAATATAGTTAAATTTTTAAGGTCTACTTTAAATGAACTAGATTAAGAAATATATTTTTAAATAAATATGTGTATATCAGGAAATATATATTAAACATATGATATGTAGATTAAGAAATGAAGCCAAGTTTTATTTGCTTATGTTTCTTAAGGATTATAAACAGCTGTTAATAAATATTTACCTTTTACTTTACGTAAGCTTGTATCACTAAGAGATTTTAGTTCTGCAGAGAGTAGGATTAAAATAATAATAGGTCTAATAACTAACTACTTCTGTCAGTTCTGTAATTGGGAGATCTGTCATCAGAAGGAGAGCCCAAGAATTTTGACTGGTAACACAAAGTAGGAGACAGAAAACCTAAAAATCTTTGGAGCTAAGGAACTGGAACAGAAAACTCCAAAACAGGCTTGACTAGCATTCTCACAGAGCCAGCATGTATTCCAAGCTGAGTACATTGCTTCCTATTTCCAAAGAGTCCTGCAAATGCCGCCTAAGTCTGTTACTATCTCATTCAGCTTTCTACCTAATTCCTCATTCCCAAACCTTGCAGAGATCCATGATTTTAAGATATTTTATTCTATAATTATCCATGTACAATAATGAAAAAAAAAAGGTTTTTTTTTTGTTGTTGTTGTTGTTTTTGTAGCCTTTAGCTTTTTCAATTGTCATTGAAGAGGTATTATGCATCCTGACCAATAATGCTTATATGTGTGTGTGAGGTGGGGAGACTTTCTAAACAAAATAAAATAATTACATTTAGTTTACACATGAATGGTACAAGCTGCTCTATTTATTATTTTTGGTGTCAATACTTGTCTTTGTTCTTTATAATTTCCCATTTTATAACTGCAGATGTTGGTTCTATGTTTCAAAATATACCCTATTTAAAAATACATTAACATTTCACAAAATTACACTTAAAATTAAATTATGAATAATTCTAAACTATTCCTTACTTTTTAAAGCTCAAGATTAAATTTTTTGAGTAGTTAAGTTTCAAGATAAAATTATTTGTGTATTTACTTGCTACACTTTCTTATTATGATTGAGAATAGCATCTTCTCTGAGGAACTAACATTAGCAGATGAATCAGTTATTATCACTGTCAACATGCCTTTGTTAGAAACCTTTATTTAAACAAGATGGTCAGGCCAGTTTAATCTGTTGACAAAACCCCATGCATGAATAAGTATAGGACTTAAAGGGAAAAAAATGTGATAAGAAAAAAATTTTTGTTTATCCCTAGGCTCCTTTTTTTTTTTTTTTTTTTTTTTTTTTGCCAAGCATGAAATTTACCTCAGCTTGATTGCTTTACACACATTGTTGTGACGTTGCACCATTGGGAGACAGGAAGAAAAAGAGGGAGCTTTGACTGTGTGGTATGTATCTAAAAGAGTGTATTAAAGAGGGAGAAGAGAATGAACACATAAGCAAGCTGGTTTGACCAGAAACAGAACTGCCTGTGACAGATTAAGAGACAAGCAAGGCTTGGAATCTGAGAGCAAGCAAAGAGAGTGGAAATTTACAGCTGCCTGTGTGAGTGTTCAAGTGATCATTTTCTGCTAACGTTTTCCGGTGGTAACTGTTACTCTTCAAAGAGAGAGACAGAAAGTCAAGACGGGATTGTGGAAACTCTTTTCTCCGCCATGCCTTGGTAATAGGAAGCACCCTCTATTGAATGGAAGATAAAGGCTACTTCATCTAACGTGCTTTGAGCCCAGGAGAGAGCTGTCTTCAGCACCTCACCATGTGTCTACTTTTTGTTGCTTAGACAAGCCTGGGCATTTCTATAACATTTGGTGAGTATCAGCCAGGGTATAGAAGCAGAATTAATATGGTAAATGTTAGTTTTAGTTGAAGTTTTACACTTAGTGCTTATATGTTCATTTTAAATCATGTCGTTACCTTGTTTCTTTGTGCATGATAAACTGCTGTTACTAGGAGAGGTTTAAAAAAACAACTACAAAACAATACTTCTCTGTTGCCTACGGCACTTGAACCACTACCAACTATGTGTCCATGAAATATCTTATTTTGGAAATAGATTTTTATTTACGAAGAGTTTCTAAAAATAAAATAATGGCAATATATCATTTTTCATGTTTCTCTTTAAACTGCATGAAAATTCAAAAGTTATCTATGTCTAGTGTCAGTAAGTTTGAAATTATAGTTATGATGTTTGGTATTATAAATTACTATAAATTACAACATTCCCTCATGATTCAAATAGAAATGTTAATCATACCATTAATTAAAAAGATATATAATTTAAATGTTGAATGCTCTGTTAGATCTAATAAGTGACACATGATTTTTTTCAGACTCCTATAATGAAAATTAAAATTAGACAATTTACATATCAGATTTACCATTTGATACAAAATGAATGCACATGGATTTTAAATTAAAGATTTTAAATTATTTTGTTCTTAAAGCTGATACCAAGCTCTCATATAATGTTGGTCTAATGAAGAACTAATATAACAAGATGCATATATGTGTGTAAGCAATAGAGCAGAAAAAGGAAAATTAAACTCTTAAAATATGCATTCACATTCTGTTATAAACAACACAAGAGATCATATGCTAACTTTATATATGTCCTTTTAAAGGCATCAATGGAAGGCATGTAATCATTCCTCTGTGGGAGGAAGTGTATATTGTTAGCTGCTGAACTGAGTCATTGCATAAAGATGAACCATTCCAAGCAAAGTTTCTAATCTATTCTTTGCCAGCCTCAAAAATATGTTTTTATTGATTCAAATGAGTCCTTTGAGACAGAACAACTTAGCTGAAATGAAAACTTCAGTAGAGTGTCAGTAAGCATATTAAAAGGATTTTTACCTAACCATAATATAAAATGGCTGTACTTTCTCTGATGTTTCTTCTAAGTATGCAGAAGCCTGTAGAACAGGTTTTGTTTTGTGAGGGTTTTTTTTTTTTTTTTTGGCCTGTTGGTCTGTTTAAGAAGGAACTCAGCTGGTCTGTGGAAACCTTTTCTGGATCAGTATCTTGCACTTAAATTAGTCAAAAGTAGATGCAACAGTGATAATATCACAAACAACTTTTACTTCTTCACAGAATTCCCCACACTCAGTCCTTCTTGGACTGATGGAGGATTGGCACACAGCTTCAATATTCAAAATTTTTTTTTTATTTTGAACTAGTAATTCTTTGGTATTACCTTAGTGGTGGTACCATTTCTTAAGCCCATAAGAGTGTAAATATAGAAATAAAGAATAAGTCATTCCCAGTTGATAGATATTTTGTACTCGAGAAGTTCATTTGTGAGTGGGTTCTTGGGAATTGGGGATTTATCTTCCCTGGAAAACAATTTAACAAATGATTTTCAGGCTTTTATTATAGCCTAAGAATATATTTTACTCACATAGTAGCAAAACCATTGCCATCCTGAAAAAATATTAGAAAATCAATTCTAGTAATGAAACTAAATATAAAAACAATTATGTCGAATAAGGCATTATCTTTATTTATTATAAATATTAATGCTTGAAGAAAAGCAAGTTTAATAAGAGGTAGATGAGTATTTGGAAGGATGCTTATAAGTAGGACTTCTGGGTACTTTTAAGAGCTTTCAAGATTGATTGCACTGTATATGAGATTAGTCTCACATTAAAATCAGTGATTTTTCTTTTCATTGCTACAAGGCTATTTCTAGCCATTTGCTTTTATGCTTATCACCCCATGTGTGAGCTTTAGCCCTCTCTCTGGCACATAAGTAGGTACCTAATAAATAGATACGAGAAAAGGACTAAACTCTTTTTTTGGTTCACAAAAATGGAACTGAGTAATTTTTCATAGGTATCCAAAATAGGAAAGGGGTTTATGGATACACAATTTTTATTATGAGAGAGATAGCCTGACAAGAACTGATTGAACTGTGAAATGCAAACAAAGCAATAGTAGTACAGAATAGGCCTAATTATTAAGAGAAAAAGAAAAGACCATGGGATAACTTGGTAGCGATCCTGAATGAGTAGGGGTGGTGATGAGAGAAGCAGTTTACAAGCTAGATATCTTGAGTACTTGAGGCATTCTGAAGTAAGATGTCAACTTTAACTCAGAAGAATTATGTATTTGCAAATGTGTACTAGGATCCATACCAAGAAATGTGGCCTGTTTGGAAAACTCAAATTAGGTCAATCCAAATTCAGGTTAGTTACACTGGGGCTAAAAGTTCCTCTAAAGTGCAAATATATAAAATTTAAAAGTTATTAATACAATAAACAGATGTAATAAAGTAATTAATAATAAGATAACAATACAATGAATGTATATTACATTTATCTTGGATAATTTTAAGTGGCAGAAAAACTTTCCTATTTGACCAAAAAAGCACTGTCTTTGTTTATTTAAAAAAAATTTAAACTAAACCTACCACCACATAATAAAAATTCAGAAAAGTTCAGAAATTGCCATTTTTTCATGTGGCAAATCATATTTAAAAAGTAATGATTTTGCATAGTCCTAAGTGGCATATAACAGGTGCTTAATAAATATTGATTGAATGAAATAAGATGGAATAATTTGAGCAGTTTTTTATTTGAGATATGGATGTCTGTGTTTACATGTACATATATATTTAAAATGTAGCTTAAAGATAATATTTACTGATATTTCTTTAACAAGGAAAAAAGCTTTTAAAACTATATTAGCATGCTTTTTAATTATGGTTCTCCTTAGTATTCCATTGATAATTAAAATAATTGGTTTAAATTGAAATATTTACTGCTTGTAAATGAGACAATATACTTTTCAGTTTTGTAGCTTAGATGTCTTAAATTTTTGGCAAGAACACATCTAGTCTCTTCCATCTTTGGAAGGTATGAAAGATTATATTAACCTACCCAGCCAGAAAAACTATACAAACCTAGAAGTCTATAGCATATGAGCTGTCTGCAGCTAAATTACTTTCATCTGTACTCTCCCATGTTAATGTTTTTATAGATTAACAGCTCAGAGACAGGCACAGGGGCTTACTGAAACTATGAAATAGTTACATTTTAAACTATAACTATAAACCTTGTCTTAATACAAATAACAGTAATCAAAGTTTTATGATTGCTATGTGTATTATGTATGTGTTTACAGGAAAGACTTAACAAAGTGAATTTTGAGTTTCCATTAATGATTCTGTTATAAAGAATAACCACTGTGAATTTCAGAGATCTGATGTTTGATTATAGTTACTAGTTTTTGAGAATACTGACCTAGCTTCAGATCTCTGTTATAAATTGAGATTGTGAAATTCTAATATAAAATTATCATTCATTGACAATCATTAATAGCTAATAGATGTAAAAATTTTAACTTCAACAAATGATTGGAGCTGTCAACAGGAACATTACTATGAACCTAATGCATGAAATTACTGGTTGTTTTTCCTGGAACAGTAATCTAGTAGGTTATTTATAACAAATAAATTAGTAATTGTATTCCTAACCTCATATGCTAATTTTATTTTTAAGTTATTCCAGTGGTTACAGTACATTATAATTAAGGAGGAATTCCCAAGGACATGGGTTTCTCTTCTTATGAAAGAGTTTTTATTCTATATAAATCTGGTCAAGGCTTCCAGATGAATGAGGATGCATAGAAAACTTTCCACAAGTTTTTCATTTCTCTGTGTAAATTATTCATACTTAGAAAATGTCTCTCCCTCGTTAATAAAACTTAGAAGAACAAAATGATTCCTAGTCATTTTGAACTGAGAAAAAGGATGATCAGTGAAAGTCCTCATTTATACTTTATTGTCTATTGATTTTCACTTATTTCTATAAATATTCAAGTACAAAATTCAATTGGGATGCTTTAATTACACCTAGGATGTATATTTAAAAATGGAATAGTTGAAGGATAGAAGACATTGAATGGAAGATAACTTTGAATGTGCTTTGTAATGGATTTAGTGTCATAGTATATGTAACTATAATGATACGCTTTGAAGTTTATTACCTCTGTGACAGTAACTCTAAAATATGATTTTGCCAGGGGTAGGGATGGCAGGATATAAGGGGAGAGACCCACTTGAATACAGCGAATACAGTAGAACTTTTAGGTATACTTTTTTATTTTAATATTTACATTCAATCAAATGTACCCATTTTAAGAGAACAATTCAATGAATATTGACAAATGTATACATTCATGTAACTTTCATCCCATTTTTAAAAAATGAATCTTATAGGCCCAAGTATTTGCCATAGATGCACTTTTAATTGCATTATTTCTATCTGTGAGTTCTGTTTGGAATACAGATTTTTTAAAAAATGGTACTTCCTGAACTTATCTGAAATTTTTTTATGTGATGGTAGGTTTATTTATTTATTTATTTTTAATTCAAGAGACGATACCCATTCCTTAAGTTTAAATTATCAAGCTCAAAGAAGGAATTTTAGGTGAAGGGAAAGAAGGCTCGGTTTTGAATTGGCTTCCTTACAGTGAGTTAGCAGTTTGGTTGTACTTTTTATGGTTTTACCCATGGGAATCTTGAAATTTTTCTTTGCTTCAGAGATAAATTTCCCACTCCCTTAAACTTCAGTGGAAACCTTTGAAATTAGGACTATTATTGAACAGCACAATTTAAGGTTAGATATAAAAGACTAGAAATACCCATTAGCCTCCTACGGATATTATATTTATTTCCCTTTAAAATATTTTAAGGGATGACAATGAGGGCATTTAGTGCCCCAAATGACCTTTTCTCTTAGCTTCTCCTTTCTCTCTTCAAATACTCCTCTCCTCTTACTTCACCGAACATATTCAGATGGGTTCACCC